ATATAAACTTAATACTTTGTCTTGGTATTATCGGTTGTATTTATTTATTTGGTTTAATGTTTTTTTGTGAAAAAAGCCTCAGTGCTCTTCAAGTGGCCTGCTTTCTATCACCACTCCTTGGCTCTAGAAATCTAATAGAAAGCCCCTTAGATAGTTGAAAATGGACAGCATTTAAATGCCACTGAAGTAAGGTATGCGGATTGCAAGCAATGAAATTTTAAAGAACTAACGATGGTCAACCTTGACGAGACGAGACGAGAAGAATAAACCATCCATCTCAGGAATGCGGATTGCAAGCAATGAAATTTTAAAGAACTAACGATCGTCAACCTTGACGAGACGAGACGAGAAGAATAAACCATCCATCTCAGGAAGCATACTGCGCTGAGAACAATCTCAAGGTGAATTGTGCTATGGGCGAGGTACCCAGTTTCTTGGCCTCAAATTGTAGCACTTAATAAAACTTTCATAAATAGTTGTTCATAGAGGCACAATTAACGATAGGAATGGTTTCTACCAGTTCCTCCTAGAATTACCCAGTGGCTCCCATGGGTAACCGAAAGGGCGCTGTCGGCAGGAAAAATTTAGTAGGTACGGCATAATATGAACCCCATTACCGGATTCGTCGACGTCCAACCCCATCGACGTTGCGCTGTTCGCACCAGGACCCACACGTTCAGCATGCAATCCGTTCAGTTTTCTACCTTAAGATGATGAAAAGGTGGGCTATTGTTGCTGTTACTAGAGTTTTTGTTAACTAATGCTCATGAGTGGATGAATTTTATAGGACATTCAGCTTACTGTAGACAGCTCCACACGTACTCAATGCCACACATTGCATAGCCCGTCCAAACACCCTCACTGCGTCTTTTTTTCGTCTCATTCTTGAAAAGCTGTTTCTTAACGACTTTTCTGAAGATTCTTTGTTCACTTCATAGAGAGATATTACCTTTGTTGAGCTTATGTGTTGTATGGGAGAAATGTGAAAAAGGACTACTTCCCTCGAGTGCAATGATAGTGTTGGTATCGAGGCTCGATCATACAAATGGGCACGAAAATGAGTTGAACAACTTTTTACCCACCTCATAGAGTAGTGATCATCAACTTTCTGGATCGTGAATTCATCTCGCCCCTATGTTCACAATTACCTCTGCGAAATTTTAGTTACCCAACGAGAAATGCCGTTATGTCTTGGGAGGCTGGGGCTGATACAAATGAAAAGGGATGTGGATCCTATTTGTATATCGTGTACCATGAAGCGTTTGTCTCTATAATGTAAACAGCATGACAAAGAAGCATTTTTACTGAATTCTCTGCAATGACCGGAAAAACTAATTTGTCAACGGTACTGCTTTGTTCTAGCTTCAGACTTTTTCGAACTCATCGGACTGAAAGGGCCACTGTAATATAAAAGGTAAATCTTTGCATCGTTTGCCATCCTGCATTTCCAGCTTTACTGTATCAATCCATCCGTTCAATGCTCAATATTTCAGCAACGTCATGCTTCTTATTCTTACAATACTCTGTGTCGTCCTTATTAAAGGAGTAGATGCACAAATCTTGGATCTGAACTGTACACACATGGTTGCTGGTGTAGCTAAAGTAAGTGACTACATTTTTAGCGAAGGCACAGATAGAGTGTTAGCTTTGGAAGCTGCAGGTAGTCAATTCAAGTTCAACTCATGTCTAAATTTCCGTTCGATTTCGCCCTACATGCCATCAGAGACTAATTCCACGGGAGTATCTCAGAAACCATCCTTATCGCGATCTGTGCCTTTAATGCCATGTTTGAACCCTAAGCCTTTTCCTTTTTGTTCCTACGATCCCATTGTGCGAAAAAAACCTTTTCCTAGGGCCAAATTCTGGCAAAAAACTCAGATCCCATACATTTTCCTTCTCGCGTTTAATGTGAGCATAAGGATCTGGGAGCCCCCTACTGAGACTGAATTTGTTTGAGAAACGTTTCAGGTTTTTTTTCAACGTTTTATTTAGTTTTTGATATCTGATTGCGAATGAACAAATTCAGAGATGAGTAAGTTCGCTGCTGTCTTTCGATTAATAGTATTTTCAGTATTCTCAGTCGGCGGTTAATTGCAATAATAGGATTTCCGACGCTGCTTGCCTCGTCATCTACACGGATGCAGTGAAAGCGGATGATGGTACCGAACGGAATGCAAAATGTGCAGGAGATCCTGTAGTACGTGACCAGCCAACACTATAAGCCAGCTTTGTATCATCTGGATCCCTCTCTCAGGTTTTCACGAGAATTCCAAGTGGGCTTATTTTTTCTTAGATTGCAGTTGTACCCATCCGCGGAAATGAGCGATTGAGCAGGATTGACTGCTTTTATAGATTTTCGATCCATTTTAGTGCCTCCAGGGAAATTTTAAAGAAATAGGTGGATAAGCCTATACCTGTAGAACACTACCTAGCGCCGGGCGTTATCCATTCAACGAGGGATTCACACTTCGACTCCCGACTCACAACTCTGCTACTACTATTGGGAAAAGGGAAGAATTATGTGGGACTAGACAAGGGAAGAAATATGAGAGGCTAATCTATTCATAAGTAAGAAGGAGGTTCATTTTACCCGAGTGAATTCGTTGGTTTGGTCCAAGGAGGATGCATCCAAAAAAGCTCATTAAAATTCTGATATGCATAGTAGAAATGGCATCCTTTTCTGGACAACTGATCTGTAAGGTCTTCGTATATGGGGGAAAAGCCCTGTCGATGGTTGGGGCCCTGTTAATGGGTTCTATTCGTTTTCAGAATCCTCAACTAGTTCAAGCAGCGATAGATATTTGCCCCAAAACATGTGGATACTGCTGTCTTACACCGGCCTTTATGTGCCAAAATAAATTGCGTAAGTTGACGAATTCCTAATTTATTTGGAAAAAGATAAATTTTCCGTTCTGCACTATTCACAAACACTTCTACGACTCTGAGCTCTCTCTCAGAGCCGCGAGTCCCATGCTCATCAGTGACAGAGGATATGTGCGAAAATGCCTATTGGAAACCTATTCTCGAAGAGGATTGCCCAAAAACGTGCGGTCTCTGCACCGCAGGTTTGTCTTGGTTGCTTATTATTTGAGCTTTTCCAAAAAAGAAGGATAAGAAGAGAAAGGAGCTAAAAGCGTTGCTTTTCGTTTCATAATTTTTGATTCATTTTGAGTATGCACTCAAAATTTCAGGTTCTTGTGTCGATGAAGCACCCGGTTGCGGTTTGGACAACGCATTCATCTGTCAGAGTAAAAATCTGCAAGCTTTCGTACAAGTGGGTGAACTTAGGCGATATGAGAACTTAGGCAGCAGTTACCCATCACAATTATCTACTCATATGTCTCCGATGAATATTTTTGAAGAAATACTGCAAGAAGACATGTGGGTTATGTAGCAGCACAACAACAACAACTACGTTAGCACCAGGTCAACCATTCAACCAAATGACACCAGGTAACTGCTGTTTGTGGAAACTTTTCTCATTTATTAGAAAATCAAATGAAGGTGATGCATCTAGAAAAACCTTTAGAAACCCCCCTTTTCGAAGTAGATGAATGCACTCAAGCAGAGGAAGAGCACTTGTGCACCAAAACCTTTAGAACGCTTGATTTTCATATGTAGAAATTTTTGAAACGTAGTGGAAAGCTGAGTGGGTCCGTGGTATAGGTTTTCATCGAGCATTCCTCCGGGGTCGTTAATTGGTACGAGACTCGTCTGGGAGGATAAAATTTCTGAACTGACCACTGGTTCGTCACCGCAATTCATTTTGCAGGCCACATAGGCATTCAATATGCCATCACGACTCTGAATTGAAGTCGAATGTGGGGCTCATTCCTCAGACGGGGTTTGCTGACGCCCGAAGGCCTCATCCTTTTATATAATGCATGCATTCCGTTCCCCACTGGTCATGTGAATAGAGATGTCGTCATGATACGACGCTCAGCCAAGATGTAATACTCGTTTCAATTTACTTCAAGTTTTTTTACTTGAAGATAAAAATTTGAAAACGATGCTACTGTATAAATGAACACGTCTCTGAGAGAAATTTATTTGACTTCTAATAATTCCAATTTTTAGTCATCCATATGTGAGGTGAAGTGAGTGTAAGCTGTAAATATAATTGCAGGTATAGTACTTATGATAAGTAATTTTTTCACTCATTACTGCTTAGCTAACTCAGGTTGCTTTCGTTATTATGCCGTCGGTGTTTTTTTTTGATGAAATCCGTAATGTAGCCATTCGAGCCGCCCTCACTCGACCGGTCTGATAGCATCAATGCTCCGGGGAATACATAGTTTCTGGTCCCAGTCAACACAACCTAAAGTTCCATCTTCTTTTGTGTTAGGGGAAAACTGAAATCTTCAGTAAGGAGAGCTCTGGGTCAAAATCTCCACCCTCATCATCAGGAGTATCGTATTCGTTGACGATCAACCTCTTCTGTTTTCAGTTGTCAAAACTGGGCTCGAAATGGATTCTGCACGAGCACATTCTATTCTGCAGCGCAGAAAAGGCAGTACTGTGGTCGAGCCTGTGGTCTTTGCTAGGAAGAATTCTATCACCGTTAGGAGTTCTTTGTCACCGCTCACGAATGTGATTCTTCACATTTCATAGGTGTATATTTTGCATTGTTTTGTAAATTGTCCATTCCTTAAAATTAATGAAGATACCATACTATTTGTCATGTTACTTGTATTTCTCTCATTGCACATAGATAAAATAAACAAGAAAGATAATTACGTTTGTAAACCAATCAATAATATAAGTGGGTGTGGTGCGTTAGGAACGAAATGGTCGCGTCGCGGTGAGAGGGGCGTCGCGGGCGAAGGAATGTAGCAGGATGAAGCAGTAGGTAAGAAATACAATAACAAAAGTACTAGTAGTAGAATTATGCATAAAATAATGATCGCATATCGATTGAGCTGTAATAACGGTGAATGAGTGGTCCGCGACAGCCGCGTGCGGCGAATCGATTACCCAGAATCGTTCCCAACGCCCGTCTCCCAGACGAATCACTTTTTTTTCATCACCACTCAAACCAGTGAGTTGAAGTTGGTGACAAACCAAAAGTCAGAAATCATTCCACCAACCTTGTTAGTGAGATCCATGAAAAAAAATTGAAGGAGTGGTTGCATGTGCATTTGGCTTCTAAACTCCTCAAGTACTAGTAAATGCTTTCATCCTCCCTAGGGGTCTGTAACTACACACCGAAACTATTGAGATGGAAGATCTGGTTGGTCGGGGCGCGTACTGGTTTGTGGCATACGGTAGTGAGCTTGATAACTCCGCTTCACATTCATACGTCATTGCTGGGTTTCGGGTTTCTACAAACTTAATATCTTTCTAGAACTGACCGATATTAGAAGGAATGTGATTGGAAAAGAAGCAGTAGAAGTTTAGGGATATTGAAATGGCCACGTCCTCTGTTTTCAAGAAAGCATCGTCTTTGATGATATTCGGAAAAATGTACTGAAGGCCTCATAAAGTGCCCGTGGGGCAGATGCCAATTGCGTCATCTTTCTTGTGTTCGGGGAATCATATTCGTTCAAATGATGAATCTAGGGGAAAGTGTTTTAAACATGCATGAGTATGAAGTAAAGATGCTGCAAATAACGGGTGATGCAGTGGGATTGTGAAAATCACAAAAACAAAGCCAAACTTTAGTTCGAGTGAGAAAGTGCAGTATAGAGGTTGAAAGAGCTTTTCTACGGGGGACTCAAAAACAACTTGTGCATGAGTGAACATCAATAAACCCTCTTACGTCGACCTCGGGTGAGGTGTGGGAGAAGTTTGAATGACTCTCATCCTCCGTGGAAATGGGGTAGTTTTTCGATAGGTTCAGAAGGGTTCCATCCCCATGAAACCTATGGGGCCTCACGGCGGGAGAGTGATGGTACATTTGTGCGCTTTGTCTAGACACAATAAAGAATCTAGTAGTGGATTCATGAATATGTAGAAATTAAAGAAGTTTGCATTAGTTTAACTCCGCTACCTTTCAGAGGAAGCAGTTCCAGCTCATACAATTAAGATCGCAATGTTCAGTACAATATGGGGTTTGTCGGGCTGAAAAATCCCTGGACAGGGCGTAATAAGGTACCAAAACTGTTGAGCCGACGTACCCACTCGAAGTGGCCGTGTTATGCCGGCCTTGTTGAGAAATTACCATGTATTGTACTCACAATGAAGCGTTAGGATCGGTAAATAGTACGCACCTAGGCGGTCACAGACAGTGATCTCCCACATACCTTTTTTTGCTACTTTTCTACTTAGAAGTCCCCCGATTCCCGCCCTCGCACTATTCTGCTCCATGACGTCCACTACTTCACTTGAAGGTGCAGTTCACGATGATTCCCTGTTGCTGGCTCGTGCGGCTTTCCCGCCCTTTCGATCGATATAACGTCAGACGAGCGTCGAGGCGATAATAATTGCAATTATTCGTTCCAGGACCCACGCACAATCAGTTAATCGCCGAGTGATGAGTCGATGTTTTTCTCTCATTCTTTTTTCCTCTGTTATTCTTTTTGCAGCCGCGATCCCTTACCTTAATTGCTACTCCTAGAGGCTGGAAAAGATGAGCTACTTTTGCTGTTACTAGGGTTTTTTGTTTACTTATGCTCATAAGTGAATGAATTCTTGCCTAGCATTGTCTGTTATTCGCACCAGGACCCACACGCGCGCAGTGAAACATACTGTTTAGCTCGTCCGGGCGCCCCACTCTTCTTCATTTTTCTTGTTTCATTCTCGTCCAGCCCCCTTTTTGACGGTTTTTGGCAGCCTTTTTTCACTTTGGAAACGCCGATTAGCGCAGTTCTTTCGCCTTCATCACACTATTTTTTATTTTATCTTTCATTTTACCTGGGTTTTTCATAACCTGCATTACCCAAATTATCGTGAACTGTGCCAAAAACTAGATATTCTAGAGATGTCGTGGACTGTAACTCCGAGGTTACAACTAATTTCACAGTCACACCATGTAAACGAAGATGAAACAAAGAAATGGAGCAGAAGAAAAAAGTTTATGGATCTGATCTGTATATCATGAACCCTTTTTCTATGTAACGCAAACAGAACCACAAAGAATTATTTCTGGTAAACGTCATTGCAGAGGCGCTAAAAACGAATGTGTCAACGGTACTGCTTTGTGCTAGCTCCGAACTTTTTTGATCTCATTGTAATGGAATAGTCAGTGCGATATAAAAGCTCAGCCTTCACCTATCAGCAAATCTTCCTGTATTGCACTGATCCATCCGTTTGATGCTAAGTTTGTTTCAGTAACATTATGCTCCTTCTTCTGACACTTTCGACTCTCCTCGTAGGAGGTATCGAAGCGGGGATCACGGACCTGAATTGCACCCACATGGTTGGTAATGAAGCCAAGGTTAGTAAGAATCTCTCTAATTCTCTCTAATGCGGCAGCTCATTACAATTTCGCACAGCGAAGAATCCTTCATCTAAGCGGAACCTTTGGTTGTAGACTGCCAATCTTTCGGAGCGGAATTCGCAGGAAAACGATCGACTTCTTAATTTTGTAAGGAAAAAAAGTGACAGAGCTTTTGAGTAAAAGATCAAAACATCTCCCTCCTTCTCCACCTCGACTCTACTTTTTGGATAAGTGAGAGGAACGGATTCTGAGGACCGGATATCTCTTCAAGCCTTCATCCTGACAAGCATATCCAGCCCCTACAGGGAGCTCTTAACATATTCATTCTTCTGGGGGAAGTGACACATTTATGAACAGTCCCTTAAATTCTTCCATCAAACTGACATTCAGATTTCTGCTGCGCAACGCTACAGGTCGTATATTTATCAGTATGACATCTAAGTGTGGAAGGGATGCGATACTAGGGTACCATAAAAAAATCAGCAACAATGTCACAATAGATTACGAAGATTAGGTGCGAAGCTGTTTGGGATTGAACTCATAAGAAACATATTTGTGGAAATGTCAATCAACTGCTGAGTCCTGATTCAGAGGGATGCGTAAACGAATCTACGTTGTATCCTTCCAATAGACAATTTTTTCAGTACTCTCAATCGGCGGTCAATTGCAACAACAGAATTTCCGATGCTGCCTGTCTTGTCATCTACACGGCTGCAGTGAAAGCGGAAGACAATACAGATCGAAATGCAAAATGTGATGGAAATCCTAATGTGGTACGCGGTCTAACGCCTGTCCAAGAGACTTTATGTTTGAATGTTTCTGTTCCTTTTCGCACCACAATACATGCGGGTATTTTCCCTCTCCAGTTCGGAATTGCGGCCTCCCATTCTGATTGCCTCATATGTTTCCGAAGTTTTAGAAAATTCGGTAGTTAGGATCTGGGAGCTTCAAGCCTTGTCTCCACCCGTTAGCTAGCTGAGAACAATGACAGAAGAAGTGGTACTGCTACTTCGTCTACCAATGTCTGCCTTAAAATCTTTTGCCACCGTACTCTACTGTTCACGAACAAGTTTGCTCTTCCTCATGATATTTCGCGTGTAGCTGTTCAGCATACACCTTGGGATATCCAATGCAGTTTTTGAATCAATAGCTTTGGGGTTTAGATTAATCTCCTGTTGCACTCTTGCCATTTTTCGAATTACAAGAAAAGTTAGTCAACGTTTTGAAGTTGACCCTTAACCCTTAACAGTATGAAAACCTGAAATGCACCCACCGGTTCTTGTAGCATAAGCCTGCTTTTCCCCATGCTCGGGCAGGACGAAAGATTCCAAAAAGGCCAACGAAAATGCAGCCTCACATCACATGGACATAGATATTCTGTCATACAGTTCACATTTACATCTTGAATCGCGTGCTTTTGTAAAAAAAAAACAGTAAAACCTCCTAATCGGGTCATATTGCGGAAAAGAGATTTCACTGTAAAAGCACTGGAAGTAGAACAAACCATTCTATACTGTTCAACTCACCTGAAATAGCGAAACTAGCCGAACAAAATCGGTTTCCCTCGTTTTTTTATTGTTGTACTTCGCTAGCGGTGGCTTCCCTCAAGCCACACGTTCGAAGTGTTTAGGAACTGACCCATTTTTTGCTCTGGATATGCCTACAAAATGAAGCTGACCAAACGAGATGGGTTTTCTTCATTTTCAGAATCCTCAACTAGTTCAAGCAGCGATAGATATTTGCCCCAAGACGTGTGGATACTGCTGTCTTACACCAGCTTTTCTGTGCCAAAACAAATTGCGTCAGTTGAAGACTCTTGATTCATTCGAATAGGTGCTACACAAACAACAATATTGCCGATACGAACTTTTTCTTAGAACCGCGAGTGCCATGCTCATCCGTGACACAGGACATGTGCGAGAATCCGGCTTGGAAAACTATTCTTGAGGAGGACTGCCCCAAAACATGCGGTTTCTGCAATTCAGGTTTGTTTCGATTAAAAGGATAAAGGATAAAGTTTTTGGCGTTAATCAGTCCCGTCTGAGGGACNGCCGACCCCTTGGGGATGGAAGGCTTGGTTGACCTAGGCGGGCATCGGTCCGGGATTCGAACCCCTGACCATGCGTGTGATATAGTGCGCCACTTGCCACTACACCACCTCTGCCCCTTGTTTTGATCACCAGAGATAAGTCAGACGATTCCATTCTACGCTGTCAGAATCAGTCGCTGTCTTGGGTCTCTGCTGAGAGGAAATGAGGAAAGCCCCAGGTGGTAGATTTCAACATGTTGACAAGTCTAAGGAAAAACAACAAAGCGCAATGATTCCTGGTCAACGATTTTGTTGCCATTTTGAATATGGTATATTTCTGTAGTTCAGGTTCTTGTATCGATGAAGCACCTGGCTGCAACTTGGGAAACGCGATCATTTGTCAGAGTAAAAACTTAGAAGCATTTGCAAAGGTGAGCAAAAGCATTTATATAAATGACCTGATAATTACTGCCAGTTAACATTTTCTGTACTGATTACTTCTAAAGAAATACTGCAAGAAGACGTGCGGATATTGCAACGATGGAACGACCACCACATCACCGAGCCCATTCAATCGAGTGACATCGGGTGAATACTTTTATTCGACTTTTTTTCAAATGGCAAATCGGGTAAACTTGACAAGAATCCAAGAAAAAACTTCATAAGCTCCTGTTTCCAGAGGCAATGAATGTCTTAGAATTGGTCTTGGTTCCTCCTTTGTCTCATATAAAGCGATGAACTCTCCCCACTGCTGTCAATTCTGCGCAATAACTGCATCTTCATCTCTGAAAAATTCCTTGAGAAGCGCACCTTCTATCCCCTGCCAAATGTTCTTCTCCACGCGATTCTGGGACGACCTCCTCCTCGCTTGGCTTCCAGAGACATCCAGTACATGACCATTTTCAGAATAAAGTATTTGAGTACGAAGCCATTTCTGGAAGGGCTGAAATGGCAAGCTCTATATCACATAGGCTGCGGTATTCTGGAGTTAAATCCTCATAGTTTCTCAAGGTTTTGTGGCATTATAGTTTCTTTTATGAACGTTGAAAAAGGGAGCGTGTTCATCGGCTAAGATATTCTCATTTATGTGCCGGAAGGTTTGGTGGAAAACCTACCGTACCCATCTTATGCAAGTTGATGTTTGCTCTTCGTGATAGCTTGGCCAGATTTCTGCCCATTCTGAAGAGTCTAGGGAAAGAGCTGGAAAAGGGTGTATTTATGTCCCTATTTTGCATCCATTTATTCGCCTTGCAATAAAACATAGCATAGCCTAACACCAACAATAGGAATAAGCAAAGCATGAGACAGCATGTTTTCTTGTTTCAGGTGCTGCATGTGGAACGAATCCAAAGTAACCTTTGCTTTTTCTACATAATGGTCTCAGGTTTTATTTCTGCCATTATACTTCTGACGTTTCGAATGAGTTCCGCTCTGATTCGCATGACTCAAATGACTTGACTCCCTTTGATATCTCAAGTATATTAAAGATATCCTTAGTTCTGCTATGAAGCGTTGTTCTTGGTAGCATGGGCATGTACGTAGCCCTCCTAGCAAATTGTGGGTGCTGCAGAATGGATAACGTAGTGCATGTCAGAATCGCAGTGTTGTGATGTTTGAAGATAGAAATTAAATCCATCTGTTGGAGCCTCATTGGTGAGTTGGGTCTGGTCCTCAGATGGTTGGGTCTGGACACATTTCGTTTCTAGCAAGGAGAAGATTACTATGAAATTACTGGTCGATTTCTAGATCTATTTCATTCACTATATCCCCAATTGTTCTACTTTCAGTTGTCAAAGCTGGATTCGAAATGGATTCTGTACGAGCACATTCTACTCTGCCGCGCAGAAAAGGCAGTATTGTGGACGAGCATGTGGTCTTTGTTAGAAACAGAATCCTCTGAGGGCAACGTTTCTTCAATTTCCCAATGTGAATCATCACATGATGTGGATGTATATTTTGTAATATTTTGAGAATTAGCCTTTTTTGGTACTAGTACAAGTGTCCTGCTGTTTGTAGGTTTCTGAATATATAGTTATTTTCTATTGTGCAAACTAATCGAGGTCTGAGGCCTACTGCAATTTATCAATCTTCCTAGTGACTTTTCAGAAACGTAGTGACAAATGAATGTGTATGTGGCTTTCATAATAAATAAGGTGTCTATTCCATGTCAGTGCATTTGTTCTCTCTAGGCAGTCGGTTCCTGAATAGCCGATACAGAAGGGGTTGGAAGGACTGGCTGACCCAAACGGGAGTCGAGCTCGCAAAGTGAGAAGGTAGCTGTGGTAGTGTAGGCTTATCTCTACTTCATCTTCGAGTTTCTGATCGGCTGAATGCTCTGAAGTGACCGACTTCAATGGTCGGTCTGACAGTGTCATAGTGCCTCGTAAAATGTCCATGCGATGACTGCCATTTTCATCGTTTCCCTTGGATGCGGAAAGCCGCGAACAAGGATTATCAGGCATTCTAAATTAGAGAGAACAGCGAATGATCAGAAGTACCCACTTATTGAAGTTAGCAGTCGGCTCGTCCGGCTGACGCGGGGCCCCCTACTTCCCATGTTGAAATGGCCTCTCCGCCTGCACCACCCATCAAATCTGAGCGCGCTAGGTCCACGGAAACAGGAGCTATGAATTTCCATTCGAACCCAACCCACTGGCCCACTGTGGGCGGAGTCCGGTTCTGCCGCCCCAGCAAAAGTGTTCCCATCGTCCCGCCCGTGCACTGAATTTGAGCGCACTAGGTCAACGGGGACAGGAGTTGAGAATTTCTGCCCGAACCCCGCCTTGTGGGCGAAGTCGTTTTTGCCACCCACCATGAGTGTTACCATCCTGACGCCTGTACTCCTACCAACTTTAAATTTTCTAGGTCCACTACGACAAAAATTATTTTCCAAAATGTTTTCATAGAGCATTGCATTTTTGTGGGACGCTCCGCCCGTCGGGAGTGGGTCTCCCTAGTTGGATCTACCTTACCAATGCACACCTCTAGCCACCTTTACATCCCATTTTTAAAGCCGTGTTGTGGCTGAATTTAACATCATGGCCCTCAGTACAGCTCATTTCGATGCACGCCGCGCCCACTGTGGGCGGGGCTGCACCAAGCTGATGTGTACTTTATACTTTTCGGGACATAGCCCACCCATTCCACATTTGACCCGGTCTCTACAGGCAGATCGAATGGAGCTAAAAAATTTTATGACAGACATACATACCGACAGACGACAGACGACAGACAGACCACAGGCGAAGCGCTTCATGGTAAGTAGGATGGTGTTACGAATTTGATGAGTTGGACCTTTGAAGGGATCATGGCTGACTGCTTGTCCTCTCTTCGAACCACGAGAATGTGCTACATAAGTGAAAACCCTTGATCCCAAGTATCTCAGTTGCTCCCGAACTAACGTCATATTTTTGGACTTTGAATATTCAGCAAATAGCGAAACTGATTATGAAACCTATGAATCTTCTGCAGTCAGGTGCGACTTCTAATCGTTGATGACACCTAGTGGCGTACAATTTAGCTCAAGAAGAAAGGCCTATGATGGGGTAAATTGATTTTGAAACACTACAACGTTCAGCTCTGTTATGGTTCAGACTAGGTTGAAGAAATGATTGTGTTCCTCTGATTTCAGTATCTCTGTTGTGAAGCCGCGCTGTAAGAGGTAAGAGTCAGGAGCTGCTTACAATCGTAGTAAGCAGAGTATATACCAAATACCGTTCTTTATGGAGTGGATTTGTTGAAAAAATACACCGCATAGTGGCATCGTCATAAAGAAAAAAAGTTGAAATAGGAATATGTTACAGTAGGTTTATAGCATTGACTGTCAAAGGAATTGACAAATACTCTCGTGGGAAAATAACCTCATTTTATTCCGATACTTGTGAAATAATAATCTCATGCCGTTTATTTGCAAGCGTAGCCGAAATAAAGCTGTATCATTGTGTCGGTTTCTTTTTCCCGTCGAAACTTCAACCTGTCAAAGCTTATATGCAGACCTTGTCAAAGGCTCCGTACCCGGAAGCCGTATCAATTTTTCAATGCTGTACCATCGAATGCCTCAAGTATACACTTTTGCCCTGCAGTTAATTGTCTTCCATTATATATAATTTTGAAAAAAGCAACAGTAATTGGAGGAGGAGCAATCGGAGTCTTACTCTGTAGTATGACACTAAAGCAGATGCACATAGAAGATCATGAATCTAGTCTGTATCAGAATGACATCACGAAGCTTTTGTCTGTTAAATGTAAACAAAATCACAAAGAGTTATTTTTTCTTAACGTCATGGCAGTGGTGTGAAAAACTTGTATGTCGACCGTACTACTTTGTGCAAGCCTCACAGTTTTTTGAGCTCATTGGAATGAGAGAGGATGTGCATATAAAAGCTAATCATCTGCGTGTTTGTCGCAGGATTTCCAACTTTTCTGACCAAAGCCTCGTTTGATTTTGAAAGTTTCAGCAAAATTCATGCTTCTTTTTCTGATCATTTCATCTCTGCTCCCAGGAGTCACAGAGTGTGGAATCACGGATCTGAATTGTACGCACAGGGTTGGCGATGCTGACAAGGTTTGTAGTATGATTTCATTATATAAAGTACAGAGTAAACTTTGAGAAGCGGTAGATATAAGCCATGCGCAGCAATCAACCCGTCTCGACGAAATCGAAGTAGCGGTCAAGCTAGTGTGGCGGGATTTGCATCAGAAGAGTTCCGTCCAGTTATCAGAAAGGAGAAGAAAGCAGTAAGAGAATGCATGGGTTCATGAGTTGGCGCATTGTGTTGCTCCCATCTCGGCCTCCTCTACTACATTCTCTGATAGCTGTGGGGATGAGCTCTGAAGACACAGTGGTGGTTCGAATGGAATGCGCATTCCAGTCACGCAATGTTCGACCGCTATCGTCCTTTTCCCGTTTGTTGCAGACGAAACCTCTTTGAAGATTATCTCTAGCGTGCAAACTTGGATCATACAATGATCTCAGCTCTTTGGGGTGAGTGGCAAATCTGTAAACCAAATCCCTGGTTTCTTTCATAGGACTTCCCTTAAATTCTCTGCTGCAGGACATATATTACCTGTAGCTCTGAAAAGAGAATCTAATTTTTCATGAGCATGAGCATGAGACGGTTGTCTCAGTTCTAATGAGTACTGGATGCCACCCTATACGGGACTGGTTCAACGGGGAATTATTCGATTGTGAAAATATCTACTGATAAGATTACTTTGAACCAGACCCTTTCAGTGGTTAGTGTAATAGGCAACATGTGGCTGTTCCATTTCAATCGACATTTTTTTCAGTACTCTCAATCGGCGGTGAATTGCAATAACAAAATTTCCGACGCAGCCTGCCTTGTTATCTACACGGAAGCAGTCAAAGCGGAAGACAATCAAGATCGGAATGAAAAATGTGCAGGAGTTCCAGTAGTAAGTGATCAGCTCACGGAGCAACTTAAGGTGTTATTACGGTTGCCGTCCAGGTGCAGAGAACGTACAACAATCCACTGTTTTACCTTTCACACAAGCGAAAATGTGTGGAAATAATGAGTTTTCATTGTATCAGAATCCTGCACTGGTTCAAGCTGCAATAGATATTTGTCCCAAGACTTGCGGATACTGTTGCCTGACACCCGCTTTCATGTGTGAAAACAAATTGCGTAAGTTGAACAGAGACCTTGATGCATACCAAGAGCTGCCAGTTTTTGTTTTGCGCCATCGAACACTAACGACGAAGTGTGTTGAAAAAAATTCTGGTTCATTTTTTGAAAGAATGTTATACAGGCAATTTCTAACATCCGTGAACTTTATTGAGTTATCAATTGCTTTTCCAGAGCCGCGAGTCCCATGCTCATCAGTAACACAGGATATGTGTGAAAATCCGGTATGGAGAACTATTCTTGAGGAGGATTGCCCCAAAACATGCGGTTTCTGTAATTCAGGTATGCTCGGATTCCTACAGTAAACTCTGCTCGTAGACACTACGTTGCCACCATCAGACATTCTCCTTGTTTTTTTTTATTAAAAATAATCAATGCAGCTGAATGGAGGATAGTGGGTGGGTAGAGTGGACGCCCTAAAATAACAAAAAAACGAGACTACCTTGAGCAGGCAGTAGCAACGACGCTTAACCAGTCCTTATCATTGAGACAATATGTGGGTTGCCGCTATTGGGGTGCCAGAGAAAACAACGAAAAGGGATGGGTTCTGCTCAAGATGTCCGTTTCATTCCGAATATATCCGAATTTCAGGTTTCTGTGTCGATGAAGCACCCGGCTGCGGCTTGGACAACGCATTCATTTGCCAGAGTAAAAATCTGGAGACTTTTGCAAAGGTGGGTGAACCTAAGCGATATGAATACTTAGACAGCACTTGTCCATCACATTTACCAACTCATATTTTGTCTAACGAATATTCTTGGAGAAATACTGCAAGAAGACGTGTGGATACTGCAACG